AAAAAATAAAAATTTAAAAAAATTGTTGAAATTGTTGAATTTAAGGTTACTATATTTATTGTGAATTTTTGGCGTTAATTTTATATTATTTTTTTCATATTTTTTCTATTTTTTATTAGTCAATTACTCATTTTCGGGATTTATCGAAAAAAAATTGTTGAAAACGGGTCGGGTAGTTTATATAAAATGGGGTATATCTAAACCTTTTCGAATAGTTTAGGGGTATATTTGACCTTTTCCCTTTAATATAAATGTCACGTGGTAATGTAAAAATGACGTGACAATTCCATTTGGCATTTTAACGCCCATAAGGGCATATCTAGACGAAAAGTTGGACAGCGAGGGCAAGAGTGAACCAAACTTTAAATGGGGGGTATATCTAGACCTTTTCGAATAGTTTAGGGGAATATTTGACCATTTTCCCATTTATTTTTATATTTTTTTCATTTTGTGTTAGATATGTACATATATTCTTAGTAACTTTTTCATGTACCGATTATAACATCAATAAAAAAATTATTTTAAAAAAATTCTTGTGGCGACAAGTAAAATATATTTGCGATATGTATATATCTAACACAAAACCAGAAAAAAAATTAGAAGCAGAGTGTTAGGAAGAGTGGGTAGAATATTTTTTTTAAAAAAATAAAATAATATCTAAATTAGTATTTGAAGGGGGGGAGGGGGGAGGGGGGGTTATGGTGAGAGGAAGTGATGGAGTATGGTAAAAAATATTTTACATTTTATTTTATGAAACAATATTATCATTTTTTTAGACAATAATTTTTAATCTTTAATATTAAATAATACTTAATTTTTTTAATTTTTTTCAAGCTGAAATATTTTGTTCATGTGGAGTGTGATGTAACATTTTTTTTAAGTAAAAGATAGAGTGTATTACACACTCTACGATGAGAGTATTATAAAAGAGAGATGTGTGCTTCTCAAACTAATAAGTAATAGTTTAGGTATGAACTTACACTCTCAATAGTTTAGGTATGAAACTCAAAAAAAAAATATAGTTTAGGTGCATTTTTTACACTTATCTCAAAAAGGCTCTTGTTATTGTCACAAACCAAAATAGTCCTTTTGTTATAAAATAACTAGCTTAACAAACTTATATTGATAAACTAGATTTAAAAGAAGAACAAGAGAGAGCATAATCTATTCCAAACTTTCTTCTCTTCATTTGTGAATGAAAGTAATGGCTATTTGTAGCCAACAAGTAATATACAAACTAACACTTGTCCATTAGGAAGTTATCCACTTGGCCAAGTGATGACACAACTCAAATGGGTGGCCCACATGGCATCCATTTAGTATGGCAAGTGATGACAATCAAAGGGGTGACCCCACATGGCATCCATTTAGTTTTACAACACTCCCCCTTGGATGTCCATGAAAAAGGAAAAGTTGAAGGAACAAAAATATACATAGATTTTCACAACACGCATTGTTTGCTGCCTCATTAAAAACCTTTCTAGGAAAATTCAGTGGGACAAAACCTAGACAAAGGAAAAAAGAGTGCAACGCGTATTTTGCTCCCCATGATAAAGACCACGATTCATATTCTCAAGTCTTTGCATTCCAATCTTGTGCACCATCTTCTCAAGAGTTGAGGCTGGTAAAGATGTGGTGAATAAATCTGTTGGATTATCATTTGAACGAATTTGTTGTACATCAATATCACCGCTCTTCTGAAGATCATGACTGAAGAATAATTTCGGTGAAATATGCTTCGTTCTATCTCCTTTTATGAAGCCTCCTCTTAATTGAGCTATGCATGCAACATTGTCTTCAAAGAGCATTGTGGGTACCTTGACATCACACTTCAAACCACATCTTTCTTGGATGAAATGTATCACTGATCTCAACCATATGCATTCTCTACTTGCTTCGTGAATATCTATTATCTCAGCATGATTTGAAGAAGTAGCGACAATGGACTGCTTCATAGATCGCTATGATATAGCAGTACCTCAGTATGTAAACAGATAACCTGTTTGAGATTGAGTTTTATGTGGGTCAGATAAATAACATGCATCTGCATGACCAACAAGATCTGCACTATCTTTGTTAGTATAAAATAGACCCATATCACTAGTCCCCTTTAGATATCGCAATATATGTTTAACTCCATTCCAATGTCTTCGTGTAGGGGAAGAACTATATCTTAATAACAAATTAACAAAAAATGCTATGTCAGGTCTCATAGTATTAGCAAGATACATAAGTACACCAATTGCACTAAGATAAGGTACTTCAGAACCAAGAGGTTCCTCATTCTCTTCTTGAGGTCGAAATGGATCTTTACTCACTTCAAGTGACCGAACAATCATTGGAGTACTTAATGGATGTGCTTTGTCCATGTAAAATCGTTTCAAGATTTTCTCAGTATAGGTAGATTGATGGATGAAGACCCCGTCTGCTAAATGTTCTATTTGTAGACCAAGACAAAGTTTTGTCTTTCCAAGGTCTTTCATCTCAAATTCTTTCTTTAGATATTCAATTGCCTTTTGGACCTCTTATGGAGTTCCGATGAGATTAATGTCATCAACATAAATAACAAGAATAACAAACCCCGATGTTGTTTTCTTAAAAAAAATACAAGGACACATTTATATAATCTTGTTTTATCAAGTACTCACTGAGGCGATTATACCACATAGGCCCTGATTGTTTTAAGCCGTATAATGACTTTTGTAATCTGATTGAACACATTTCCCGAGATATTGAACTATATGCTTCAGGCATTTTAAGTCCTTCCGGAATTTTCATATAAATTTCATTATCAAGTGAACCATAAAGATAAGTTGTAACCACATCCATTAGATGTATTTCAAGGTTTTCATATACAGCTAAACCGATGAGTTATCGAAAAGTTATTGCATCCATAACCGGTGAATATGTTTCTTCATAGTCGACATCGGGTCGTTGAGAGAATCCTTGCGCAACAAGGCATGCCTTGTATCTTACAATTTAATTTCTTTCATTTATTTTTCGCACAAAAATCCATTTATAGCCAATCGATTTTACACCATTTGGGGTTTGAACTACAGGTCCAAAAACCTCACATTTAGCAAGTGAGTTTAATTCTGATTGAATTGCCTCTTGCCATTTTGACCAATCACATCTTCATCGACATTCTTCGACAGATTTAGGCTCAAGAACCTAACTGTCTTGCATAAGATTAAGTGCAACATTATCCACTATAACTTTTGATCGATCTAAATTTATCCCATCACCCGTAGAACTTATTGAAAGTTCTTCATTCACTTGAGTCTCGGGTTCACTGATCTCTTCAGGAATATCAGGATTAATCAGATCTTGAATCTCTTCGTGGGATTCTTTTGTAGTGTCATTTTTCGTACTTCTTTTTCTAGGATTTTTATCCTTTGAACCCAATGGTCTACCACGTTTTAGGCGTGTTTGTGATTCAGAAGCCATGACACTTGTAGATGGTCCTTTTAGGACATTAATCCGGATAGGCACATTCACTACAGGAATATGTGACTTTGTTGTCCTTTTTAAATCAGTAAATGTGTCTGGCATTTGATTTGCTATGTTTTGCAAATGGATGATCTTCTGGACCTCCAGTTCACACATAGGGGAACGTGGATCAAAATGAGATAATGATAAAACATTCCATGCAATTTCATTTTTAAGTTCCTTTTTATATCCCCCTAATTGAGGAAAAGTTGTTTCATCAAATCGACAATCTGCAAATCTTGCAGTGAATAAATCTCCCATCAATGGCCCAAGATAGCGAATTATGGAGGGTGAATCAAACCCAACATATATGTCTAGCCTTCTTTGGGGGGCATCTTAGTTCGCTGAGGTGGTGTGCTAATGACACATATACAACACATCCAAAAATTCTTAGATGAGCAATATTTGGTTCATGACCAAATACCAATTGTGACAGAGAATATTTATTATAATGAGTTGGTCTGAGATGAACAAGTGATGCTGCATGTAAGATAGCATGACACAGTAGTGGGCAACTTAGTTTTCATAAGTAGAGGTCTTGCTATCAATTGTAAGTGCTTAATAAATGACTCAACAAGGCCATTTTGAGTATGAACATGAGCTACAGGATGTTCAACTTTTATCCCTATTGATAAGCAATAATCATCTAAGGCTTGGGATGTGAATTCACCATCATTATCAAGGCGAATTGCCTTAATGGGATAATATGGAAATTGCGTTCTTAATCGTATCATTTGTACCAATAATTTTCAAACACCAAGTTGCGAGATGATAAGAGGCACA